AAACCCCCACCAGCACGTTCCTCTATATCAAACTATAATATTCCAACTTTGAGACACTTCAGCATCTGTCCAATAATCCACAAGGTTTGTTATTCTTTTCTAGATGGGTGGTTGGCGGGTGCCCAGGTGTGGTTTGTTCCTTCTTTCCTATCAAACATCTATCGTCCTTATTTCTCCTCCTTCTTTTTAGTGTATATTACTCTCTTGTAACACATCTATTCTTCGGCACTTATATGACATTTTTGTGTTGCAAGTGCCGTAAAAGTTTTACTAAAAATTAATTCTTTTCTGTCAAGCCGTAAGATGAACGAAAATGATAAGAAAATATTCAAATCGCAATTCGAGAAACGTAAGAGGGGATAAGTTCACGATAACATATCCAGTTGCATAAGGATATTTCAGAGACTTGGGGAGCGTTAGTTGACTGAATGACAAGGCGGAAAGATCAAGATAATGATAAGATATAGCTTTATTTTAGAACACCTAAGCAAAGGAATAAACGGAGAACCATGATCGTCGATGTATGTTGCCAATCTGGCTCTTGATGATAATGATTTCAGAGCAGGTAATAAGCAAATAGATGTAGTAAGTCTGAACCTCCCATTACGACATCCTTGTTTTATGGAAACGGTCAGTCGAAACAAGACATGGCAGATTTTTTATTCTTTTTTTTTGGGGGGGGGTGTTTGTTGTTGGTCTTATTTTTTTTTTTCGGTAAGTGTTTTATGCACGGCGCTCACAACTGCATTAGGTCATATGAGCGCGCGTAACACATTAAACATTTTCAGTAGGTAGGAAATTTTGAATTTTGCCCGGGCTGAAGCCTACTCTTATCGATTTTGGACCACCAAGAAATCTTTAACGTGCACAACTGCACATGGGCCCTCCGACATTTTTTGCTCTTGTCCGAGAGGGCGAGGACGTGTAGATCTTTCCTACCATAAGATCAGGGGTGAGGCTGAAAGACAACAGTAAGAAAGAGCCAAAGAGCAGGAGTAGAAAGGCTGCAGAAAGAGTCAGGAGCCCAGAGGAGGAGGCGAAGGAGGTGAGGGGGGTGGGGGCAGAAAGTGGAGGCGAAAGCAGACGACAGAACTTTGCCAGAGAGGAGGAAAGGAAGTGAAAGGAGACAATTTTAGAGATGAAAAATGTTCGTTGCTATCCAGATTTGAACCCGGGACCTATTGAATGTGAGGCGAACACCTTAACCTCTAGGCCACGGGAGCCCCCTACAGAATTATTGAATTTTGATACAGTTGGGAGAATGTTTATTGCTCAAGAACAAGAATAGTTTCACTTTTCTCTTTGGGTCTGATCATCACCTGCAGAGATGAATAAGTCGTTGTTTCAGTTGTTGTTGTTTTTTCGTTGTTGTTTTGTTTTTGTTGTTTTACTCTTACGCCTTTTGTGTTTTTTAAGTGGACCCTGAAGTCGGCAGGTTATCATATTAATATACAGTAATATACTATGTATAGCATATGTAATCCATATTAAAATATTGTACTCCAATTCTGTCGTTGCATTGCAAAGCTTTCGTGGCAAATTCTCGTTTGCAACTTGCGTTCAGAACTTTCCATTGAGACGGAAGAGAAAGCCCATCTGCGAGAACAATTGTCTAGCCTATATTGATCCCTGTGTTACATTCTTTCAATGTCTGGGTGATTGAAACAATGTTTCCTAATGTTTCTGGGTGTTTGTTGGTGTTTTCTTATATGTAAGTTGTGTTGTTTGAGCACGAGGACTGGCGATTATTTAATGCAAGAACATTTAGTATAATTTTTCTAAATGATATTTCTTTTACACCTTTTATACTACTGACGTACAGCTGAAGATTTCGTCATAGAAATAACGCTTAGCGTAGCGGAAAAGGTTTAAAATACTACTATTGCTCGTGTGCGTTCTTTGTATGATTGAACATGGATATGGAAGCACAAAAGAATGGGTTGAGCAAATGAGGGGGCGATTGCAATTTTGTTTGAGGATGTGGTTGGTTGGAGGGAGAGGGGGTAACTGGGAGGAAAAAATGGTTGGGGGGGGGGTATTTTGACATATTATTTCGGTTACTCAGTTGCCCACGATGAAACATTCAAGGACTATTTCAAAATTTTGCATGTTTCCAGTTGCTAAACTGGACAATGTGTTGTAATAAAAATTCCAAGAACGTGGACTATTATTATAATCTTCTTTGGTCCAAACTTCAAGTCTTTTTGTCTTGAATTTCTTGAGCAATCCAATAAATGTGTTTCTCAATACGCTCATTGTGTTGCCTAATCTTTAATCGTGCACGAATTATTTTTCCCTTTTTAATCGAGTATACTAATTATTACCCCTGTCCCATACCTGCAGCCGAAAAAAATCCACCAATATTTCGCAAGACACTGTAACATTTCTTACCATTCTTCGTTTTCCGTTGCCTCTATCAGTTTCCTGTAGTAGGCTCCAAAATGGTCGTGAAGCGTCAATATTTCGCAAGCCTCTCTTTCTCTAATCTGTAACAGCCGTGGCGATTTTTATTTCTCATCACGCCTAGTAAATGGTCTTTCTATATCTGAGATGGAGATAACACTAATCTGTGTTCCGAGTTCCCCTCTACTCACCGATCGGTTTTAGAGACGTTAGGTGGACATAATGAGCTGGTAAGGACCATCGTCTTCAGCTAAATCAACTCCGCTTTCTTTTGAACCTTGCAGACGTTCACAGATTCCTAGTCTCGTTAATGGGGTTTGGGAGGGGGAAGGGGGGAGGGGGGAGAGGAGGGAGGGAGGGACGGGACGGGACGTTCAGACAATTGTGGGGAAATAACTGCTGACCCACACTTTAGTTTTTATTTGGTCTCCTGTAACCACCGCGGCCGTCGAAATCACCCACGCTCACCCCTTAATTTAGTCTGGGCAAGGTCTTTTGTCCCAACGAACGCAGACTTTCTGCACTGTGAGTTTTTCGTTGTTGTGGTGTGTGTATTTTTTTTTTATGTTAGGCTTTTTTGGGGGGGAAGGGGGAGGGGTT